CCTAGAAAGCAATATTTTACATTTAACATTTATCATTGGTAAAGCTCCTCACACACATACATAATAAAGTATGTACTTTTTATTGTCAACTGAATTTAAACATTTCTTATTATCTTTTTTATATAAATTTAGGCCACTTAATTTTTATAATATTTTTATTTTTCAATTACAGTTGACAAACAATGTTCCATTAGTTTCAGGTGTACAACATAGTGGTCAGACATTTATATACCTTACGAGGTGATCACCCTGATAAGTCTAGTACCCATCTGATGCCGTACATAGCTATTACAATGTTATAATATTCCTTTGCTTTTGTAGTTTAAAAGGCTAATATTTTTAATTAAATGACTATTTTATTTTAGGTTAGAGGAAGTTTATCATGCCATAACCTATTTGTAAAAGTCACAGTGTAACAAGTTAATTGCACCTGTAGTGACCAGTTCCATTACTTTTAAATGCAACTCTCACTAGCAAAGTTAAAAAATGAGGCAAATCTGTAGGCTTGAAATGAGAGCTGAGTGCTATTTTCTCAGAGTTATCTCAATTTAGGTAATTATGTAGGTAGCTGTCTCAATTCTCTGCTTGAAAAATTAGCATTAGCTATAACATGCCTAAATCTAAAGTACATTTACAGTAACTACAAACGTGTTTTTATTTGCTCAACAAAATATAAAAAAATGGTGGCAAGGAAAGCTATTAATATACTCTATCAAGGAAAGAATTTGATTATTTTTCTTCCCGAATGACATTTTGAGGACAATACTAGCAGAGACATTGAGGACTATACTAGGGAGAAATTTCAGTTAGGAAATAGGCAACACAAAAAGTAATAAGTCACAAATATGCCCCTGAAATGCACACTTAAAAATGGTTAAAATGGTAAAATTTTGTTGTTCATATTTTAACACAGTTTTAAAAGTAGTGGGGTAAGAACTAATGTAGTCCTAGACCCTAAGTTTTTTGGGGATTTTCTGCTTAAAGAAATAATAAGGGAAACACTTAGGGGGGAAAAAAAGATTTCTACGAAATCATTATTTCCATGCTATAAAACATTGTGTGAAAAATCACATAAAAATACAAACATAATGGTAAAAGAAATTCAATGTGTTCTGTTTTGTAAGAGAAATAAGTTCTAGGGAACAAATGTACAGTATGGTGACTAGAGTTAACAATATTGTTTCACAAACTTGAAAGTTAACCAAGAGAGTAGCTATCAAATGCTCTCATTTAAACAACAACAAAAGACGGTAATTATGTGAGGTGGAGGCTATGCTATGTAACCTTATTGTGGTAATAATCATTTCACAATACCATATACATGAAATCAAATCATCATGGGACACTGTGATCTTACATAATG